AGCCATAATTATTGCAATCCCAAAGCTAGGAAAGGAAAATACTCAACCCCAGAATTTTAGACCCATCTCCCTTCTGAATTCAGACCTCAAAATGTTTGCAAACATTTTGGCTACTCATCTTTTAGAAATAACACCCTATTTAACAGATCCTGATCAAGTGCGATTTGTCAAAGGAAGACAAACTCCTGATAGTACTAGAAGAATGCTTAATTTGATTCAATTTGTGGAGATCAACAAAATGCCTGCTCTGCTCTTTACTCCGGATGCAGAGAAGGTGTTCAATCAAGTACATTGGGAATATATTTTCATACCGTGTGCAATTTTTGTCTGACAGGCTACATACACTCAGCAATAATGTCACTGTATACACAATCTTCAGCAACAATATTTATATCAGGTATGTTATTCAATGCTTTAATCTGACCATGGGGACTCATCAAGCATGTTCATTATCTAAAATTATTTTTTCACCAGTTATTGAACCCTTTGCAGAATTAATAAGATCTGACCCTAAGATAAAAGGTATAAAAATAAGAAAAAGATGCATAAAATTGGTTTGTTCACAAATGCCATTGTCATGCCACTATCAGACCCAATGGTTTCCCTCCCAAATCTTCAGAAATTTACAGAGCTGTTCGGCAGGGTATTTTATTACAAAATCAAGCAAAACACATGTTATATTTTACCCATGGAGATCCATGCCTCTACTCTTAAGGTCTTTAAAAATATACTCCTATACTGGGATGATCCTTATATCTCTACTTAGGGATACACCTTGCCTATCCAGCTAACAAATCATATGAAGTCAATTTCATCAATACGATGAATCAAATAGTTAAATATGTGCAATATACTAGTAAAATATAACTTTCATGGATTAGAAGGATTGCAGCTTTTAAAATGCAAATTTTACCAAAACTCCTTTATTAATTTAGATCCCTTCCCATTCCAATCCCACCAAAACTCTTTTTACAACTCAATTCAAAGATAAAACAATTTATTTGGCAAGGAAAAAAAAACCAGAATTTCCTTCACTTTACTCATTACACCAAGATCTAAAGGAGGCATGGGTCTACCAGACATACAAGCTTATTATTATGCTTCACTCTTAAATCAATTGAAATATTGGTTCTTATCATCAGAAGACAAATTGTGGGTCACTATAGAAAAGGAAATTACAAAGGGACATGATCTCTTTGCATTGATAATAGCATATTTTCTTCAGCCAAAGATAATTACACCTCTATTGTATTCTATCACCAGCTCCCTCCTAGCATGGAGATATTTGCTAATCAAAACAAAAGCTATTGAAGAGGTTAAAATTGTGGATTTTCTTCTGCAAGCATGTGCACATTGTATCCCTGAAATATCAGTTGATAATTGGATACAGCAAGGTTATCATTTTATATATGTCTGCCACCCCCTAGTTCTATTGTGGATAAACACATAATATCCCAGATAGCTAAATTTAATAAATCACATATTAATAGTAGATTTATAATTTCTTACAACCTTGAATAGATTCAAAGAAAAGGGAATTTTCTTTTTTTATGCATGGTTAACTGACTTTATTAATAATGAAAAAAGCTCTTACAAATGAAATGGGAAGCAAAACTTGGCCATTGCTTCTCTTGGAAACAATGACAACAAGCTATACATTATAATAATAAATCATCTATATGTATTGAACATTGGGAAAATGCTCACAAAATTTTAAACAGATGGTATCTAACCCCCTATAGATTATCTAAGCTATTCCCTTCTTGTAACTCTACGTGTTGGAGATGCAAATGTCAAATAAGAACTCTATATCATATATTTTGGAGTTGTAAAAATATTCAGACTTTCTGGAATTCTGTTTCAACTTTTCTAGCGTCCCTTATGAGCATTTTAACCCCGCTCACACCAGCAATGGCACTTTTAAGCTTAAATATAAAGACATACACAAAACAGTTTAGAACTATTGTAATACAAATACTCATTGCTGCTAGACAAATAATTTTGAGTCTATGGAAATCCAATATTACACTCAATCTATACAAAGTTATAGACAGACTTAACACCCAGGGAAATTTTTAATTCATGCTTGCATATAAAAACTGTAAACTTCACAAATTTAAACTAAATCTGAAAGCTTCTAGACAGCTTAAAGAGCTTTGCAAAACATGATACATTTGTTTTTTCATTTATCAATTAGGACACCTTCATTAATAGCGTGACGCTATTTATTTTATTTGTCTATTGTTCTTTTTGTAATGATGGATACACCTATTACAGTGTGAGCCCTATCGAGGTAACAGGTATTCACATTATGTGAAAAACTATAAAAATCTGCATTGGTTCAAACTATGTAACATGATGAAAGTGAGTCCTAATTCCAAAAGAAATGTATCAAAACTGCAAACACGAATCTTTAATTGCTAGATGACCAAATGATATCTGTGCAAATACGTGTCACCCCACTCCATGCTCAAATAAAGATTACTAGATATACTGTATTTGGCCATCATGTTATAGAGTGGTCAAAATCAGCTCAAAAATGATGATTTAGCAGCCAATCAAGCCTTCTTCACAGCATCCAAATATGGCTCAAACGTCATTCACCTGCTCCATATTGACCATCAATGCATGCATTGTCAGACATTAAAAGTGGCATGTGCATGAAATAAAAAAGCTTCCCATAGTGTAAAATCAACTAAAACAATTTAATGAACCAAAAAAGTGCACTTACAGATGCCAAGATCAATACAGGGCTCTATAGTTAAGACCATCCATGTGTTCCTATTACCAAGATGGCCACGAGCATACACGCATGCGTGGTGACGTACGCCCAAGCTCCACCCAAAATGTTTCTTTATAAGTGACGTCATCAAGGGTCAAAGGCGCACGTCTGCCACCATGCACTTATATAGGGAAACTGCAAAAAAAAAACACCGGCATTGATTGATGGAGCTCACTCCATCACCACTGGTTGCCATGAGATAAGCTAATCAACATTGCCAAGTGCATGTGTAATAAATAGCACTCCAGTCAGAAATCGAAGGTACTGCATAGAAAATATATATAAGTTAATGACAATACCTGATCATAACAATAGATGGACAGGCCCACACAGCCCGCCTATGGTAAATAAATTTATTCATGACAATACATGATCAAGACAATATATAAACAGGCTCACACTGTCCCCTAATGGTAATTGTTATCACTCCAAAGTTAAATATAAAATTATAGCCCTATTACCTCTAAAAAAAGGGGGAAAGAAAAAATGGAGCTCTAAAATTATCATGTAATGGAACTTTTTACATTAGCAAAAAATAAACTGGTCATCTCTTCACTAGATCCAAATATTCAAAATACATTAAGTCACCAACAATTTAAAATTATATAACATAAGTACAAATATAAAAAAGAAAAAAGAAAGCAATATACAGATTGACAAAAGTTTTTATCTTAACGCTATACTTTTGTATGCAAGGTATTCACATTATACTATGGTTATTTTATTTTTCTACTGACATGACATGTAATAACTTAACTTTCTTGGAATGTTAGTTACTACTTTTTTGTTTGTTTACAAAAAATACTCAGCAAAAATCTATTGATTAAAAAAAAAAAAAAAAAAAAAAAAGCAATTTGTGTACTTGCACTTGGGTGTACATGTGTTAGCGATTGCTCATATATATGCAGATTGGATGCAGCTTGAACCGCATCCAATACGCATGACATGTGAAATAACATTGCTTTCTATGGTGCCTGCTGTTCACATATGTCCAGTGCACTGGCAGTATAAGTTCAGTGCAGATTCAGTGCGAGTTGAAGAGTCCTGTACAATTTCTGAGCAGTGCGGTCTTGTTCAGGTGCAGATTACAGGCTATTGACTTCTATGGGAACCGTTTCTAAACTGCATATGTGTGAACAGGATAGAATCCTGATCTAATCCTGTCCTGAACCTGATGTAAACCTGACCTGAACCGCTGAACAACTACTGTATCAGTTAGCTGTGAAACCTGAGCTTCAATTCTCACTGCACATGTGTGAATCAGCTCTTATATTGCAGTTCTCACATCAAAGTTTTTACAGTTAGGTAAAGGTTACTTTCAGAGTGATAATCTTCATTGAATCACAGCTGGTTTCAAGGCCAACATATTAGAACCTGAACACTATGGGGCTGATTTACCAAAACTGGTGCAGCTCTCTATAGAAACAAATCAGCTTCTAGGTTTTTTTTTCTCAAACCTTAATTGAACAAGCAGAAGTTAGAAGCTGATTGGCTACTCTCACGGAAACCACCATAACTTCTGGAGGTGTCTGAGGACCAGCCTCCTTCCACCAACTATGGACCCAGGAGACTTGCCTCTTGGGTCTACAAGGAATATTTTCCCCACTTCCCTGGATAGAAGGCTGGCCGTGAATTATACCAGCTACCTTTTCCATGCAACTATGGGTGGAGGGACTGTTTCTGGGACCCTTTGGCATACTGTGCATAGTGAAACTATGTGCAGGGAATTAATTCCAGCATATATGGGGATAAGAAACTTCACTTTCTGTAACAGGTTTCTTGGCATCAGCAACTGTTTGCTGTAATTAGGTTTAGGTGATAAGCTCTCACTTTGTTTAATCACCTCCAGAGACCACACTGCTAGGTGTCAGGAAGAAATCCATTGTTTTCTTGAGTTTGATTGTTTATTTGTTTATGTAATGTCATTTTCTCCTGGGACTTGTAATGTGGGCAGTATCTGTCTAGGGGGAAGGTTTTTGTGTATAAATGCTGTGCTGTTTGTTGATAAAAACAGTTCTTGTTTTACTCCAACATTGGTTCTGTCTGATGCTTGTGGTATATTTGCTATATTCTGGTTCCAGAGTAGGGGAAGCTGTAGTTTGGCAGAGATACCCAGTCAGGGTGTCAGGTAGTTTGTCACAGCCACCTGCACCAGATTTTGCACTCTCCAGTTTTAGTAAATCAACCCCTATGTGGCCATGTTGTCTTTTTTGGCAGTAGTCCTAACCAGGTGCGGACTGACAACTCATGGGGCCACCGGACAATAAGGGATCATGGGGCACCTATGTCCTTGGCCAAACTCAAAAAAGCCTATGAAAAAGGTACCAGGGGCATCTCATGGTGCCCCCTACTGACCCTGGGCACTCGGGCAGTGCCCGAGTTTTCAAATGATCAGTCCGCCCCTGATCCTAACATAGATGATAACCCCAAATATAATTAATCATATAAATACACATCAGATAAACTCAAATATAATTATTGAAATATTTTATTAGAATAATTTATGCAGCTATGCATAAATTGTATAGCTTGCCAATTAGTTATTTAAAACATGTTTCAGAGACAAGGTAGAATAGGTAGAGGCAGCACTATAAAATGCAATTTCAGGAGCCATGCAATTAAAAAAAGAAATGGCTAATGTCCCTGTCCCTTGGATGGAGTGCAGAGAAGTAATAAAATATAAGTTCAGGGTAATATTATTCTATGCTATCCTCCAGTTTTAAAACATCGTGTTAGCAATGGCATATTTTGGTCTGATGCATAATGATCTGTTCCAGCTGATATTCCATTGAATCACTTATTTTCTCATTAAGTGAAAACATTCAGATAGTTAGCTTGGGAAAAATCTGGTCATGAACCCAATCTGGCAAACTCTTGCAATACACTGATTCAGGAAACTGTCACTTCAGAAATCTATCATTTCCCTGTCTTGTGACCTTTCCATCCTTGAAGGTTTCAGGGAGTAATAATAATTATTGAAGGCATCTTGAGACTGCCTAGAACCGTAATCTTGTTATGCATTCATGTCTTTCTTATCTCATTGTATATTTCACTCACTTGTCTCTTTTTGTCCTAGAGGTATTTATTATGCATTCTATTATTCTGTAGGCTTCCTATCTGCTGTTTATTATTAGACAGCTTGTCGCTACGCTTTCTCGTTTTCTGGGCAATTCTCCCTAAGCCTAGACTTTACATACACTGTGGATTTACTGTTACTTCAATTTGCTGCCCTTTATTGTGATACAGTAGCTCAGTTTCTTTTATTTTATCTTATATGCAAAGTAGTCTTACCTATACCTGCCATGTAACCTTAATTTACATTCTCCATTCATGCATTCAGTGTTTTGCTCTTAATGTTCTTACTCCCATCGGCACAGATAATCATTTTCCTTTGTTTTATTTTCCATATGTGCCATTGGTATATTTGTTTTCCTTCATGGCTTACTATTCCTTGAACAGTATATTTTCATTAACTATTCCCCTTATTAGATTTTTATGTTAATTATGCTTTCTACGTCATGTTTTTTTTTTTTTTCTACAGAGTCATACAAAGCAACATTAACAGTTATAATTATACATTAACAGATTTGGGACCTGATGGCAGCAGTCCACAGGTGCTCAATTCAAGTACACCTGTTTCTTGTTCCAGTCCACTGAGCTCATTACACTATGTTCAGATGAACTCATTATCTGAAACTTTTCATTGTGGAGTGTCATCGTGTCTTTTTCCTATAGCTGAACATTTTTTTCTTTTTTATGATGAAAATTTTATGTCACTCTAGGAAAAATAAATGAAATAAAATCAAGCTGATGATGGTCCTCAACATAATTGGGTTCAAAGATGCATGCATTCAGATATGCATAGCAGAGAAATTAACCATTTTTAATGTTGCCTAAAGGAACAGGAGCTTTTCCTGTCTTTTACATTAACATTTCTTCTTATTAAATGGGTTTTTCATATTATATTTTTTAGATAGCAACACACTACTTACTAGGTATTATAAAATATATTTTGAAATGTATTAAAAAAATGAAAATGTTCATAACAAAAAGTACCAAATTTGAGATGTTACATTTATAGAATATATTTTCAATTGACTACATTAGATCCTTTAGATTTGTTGGCTTTTTAAAATGTTAGTCAACCAGCAATTATTATACCTTACACCTCATTACTTGCCTACTGACATAGTGGATAAATCTATGGCATGGGGCAAGCAATTACCATTCATGTTACCAAAGGGAGTCTGATCTTTCATAGGTTTCCAGATCTAAAAGATACAACATTACAGGTCAATTTCTATGATTGGTGAGGTTGAAAAACATATATCATCATATTTGTTAGATGTGTTAGCCTCTTATTAGAAAGATTTATACAAACTTGCCAAGCTAAGTTCATTCACAGTAAGTTTGACACTGAAAAGGCATTCCACATTATGTTATGGAATCAAGTGTGTGGGATTTTACAAATGTAGACCATTATAGCCAAACTCCAGGCAAACTGTTAAAACACATATAATTTAATATACTGTATATGAAAAATTTGTACTTCTCTTTATCCAGTTATGAAATTTTCACAGCTCTGCAGAACACCACATCCCTGTTTGCCCCAGCAGGAAACCTGATTTTTTTTTCTTTTAAATTCTATATTTACATATTTCACATACACAGCATAAGATACGGCATTACAAACACACTGGGAATGATCTGGAGACTTGTAATAATCAAACATTCAAAATTCAAGAAAAAGGTCTAATCAGTTGGCTTTTTGCAGCAAGTGAAGTGGGGTAGTAGGATTAGAGGGCAGAAATTCAGCTGGGTGGGATGGTTAGGTTTGGTGCTAACCATATTTGATCATATGTTTTAAAGTTCAAGTGGAATTATAAGTGTCAAATTCTTGCATTTAGTTCAAGAGTCTCTCTTATCCACATCTTTATTGTAATATTTGGATTATTTATAAGGCCTTCCAATGCTTCCCTCTCATTTTTGGACAAGTTATCACTCCCAATAAAAAAACCTCAATGGGCAGTATTTTCCTCAATATGTAAGGAGCCCTCATTGTATATTGGGCACTTTTTCTTTTCTTCCTTCTGGTATGCTTAAAGTGATATTAAAGGCATTTTTTAAAAATAACAAATATGTCATACTTACCTGCTTTATACAGTGGTTTTGCACAGAGCAACCACAATCCTCCTCTTCTTAGGTCCCCCGCCAGTGTTCTTGGTCCTTCCCTCCAAGCAGCTTGCTATGGGGGCACCCAAGTAGGCTCACTCCAGAGCTGCTGCTCTTTGTGTGCATTCACATGCAGAGCCTTGGCTCTGCCCTGCCCCCTTTCTCTCTCTTCATTGACAGAAATGGGAGCCAATAGCTCCCACTGCTGTCACAGCCAATGAGGAGGGAGAGTCCCCAGAGAGGCGAGGTTCTCTTTCACATTGTTGGATCGCTGTGAGGCTCAGGAAAGGATTAGGGAGGCTGGGGGCTGCTGCACACAGAAGGACCTTGAGCCTTTACAACCACTTTAATAGACATTTTTCCTTTTTTATGTGAGAGCTCTGTATGTGCAAACTTGGAATGTTTAGTAAATTCTGTATTTCAGCGTTTTACTGTTATTTTATGCTATTATGGTCATTTATTTATAATTATATCTTAAACTAAAGAGACACAAATGGAATATGCCTCTAGTTGAACTAGTTTAGTCCCAGGCAACTGTTCTCTATACCTTAATTGGTATATTTAAGTATGTATCTGAAAAATGTGTAAGATATATTTGGTCACTACCAATATTGCAACACTTCCTCAATGGCACCCAAACCAATACCTCGACTGACCAAATAGAGGCAGCAAAATGCCTCTCTTGCCTCAATAATTTTGCTTGGTTAGGGTCTTGCCCAGCAAAGTTGCTTTACTTACCGCAAGAATGCCACAAAACATATTCTTCAGTTTGTCAAGAATGGATCTGAGGTGCTCAGAAAAGTTATCTTTCTTAATCCTGGATTCACTGTCCCCACTCTGCTCACTAAAGATTTACCCTTATGCAGTTTTAAAAATTCAAATACCAAAAATATCACTTTTAGAAAAGATATAACTTTCTGTGTTGCTGGAACAAAAAGCTAGAAGAAGAAGATCTGCGTAAACGTACAAACGTTACTTTTTTCTGTGAAAAACACAGCTACTCAGCAGGCTAAGGGCTCTTGAAATATGTGTTAGATTCAGAAGTGAGTCAAATACAATTGATTTGACTTTCTTTTGAGTTGCTTTAATTTGCCTTTGAGTTGCTTTAAGGAGCTGCATCGATCTGCTTCTAAGTGTTTTCTAACAGCTTCTGTTTTGCTTTGAGTTTTTGTTAGCTTATTTTATGTTAATTTTGAATGTTTTACTTACATCACCAAAACTGCCACTGACAGAAAATACATATCCTATTGTATTCATATATGTTATGTAAAACACCTCCTTCAAGGAGCTTTCAGTCTAAGATACCAAACTCACATTCATACCTACACATACTAGGGCCAATTTATGTTTAATCTATGTGTTTTGACAATTTTGCAAGCATACAAAGAGATGAGAATGAGACATATCCATACAAAAGAACGTACAGTTTGGGGTATATAATGACCTAAGTAACAAATATTTCCGAGACACAGGAAATTAAAATGTCAATCAACGCCACATGACTCGGTTCTCACCTATAAAATGATCATAATATTGCAGAACTGTCCACAGAGCCAAAAAAATGGCAAATGTATAAGGTTATAAACACTCCAAAACAAAATAAGGAATACAGCAACCCCTCTAAGCTGAGGGATATGAGATCACACACTGTCATAATGGAGACACTACTAGTGCCAGTATAGACAAGAACCAATTAATCTACCAGCATGTCTTTGGAGTGTGGGAGGAAACACATGCAGGCACAGGAAGAACAACTACAGAATATTGGGGTGCCGTGACGTGGCTCTGTAGCTTTTGCATGTGTTTGCAAATGTGTGCTAACTAATCCCCTGTTTTTAACGCATACTTTAATTTGGTTTGTTTGCAGGCTGGTTGGCAAGTTGAGCAGGGAATTTTTCTCTTTTGTTGTTTGACATGCGTCGCCCTTCCATGTGCTCCTTGCTGTGAAGGCCAGTTATAGATTGGGGCAGTGGCCATTTTTTGTACTGCTGAATTGTTGGTGAGGGGGTGCACTGGACACCTTAGCTGCCAATGTGCTACATGCTGGGTGTCCAGTGCGCTCCTGTACCTTTAAGGAGGGATAGGCTCTCTCAGGTCCACCTGCGCTTGGTCTATCCATTAAATACATGTGCCTGTACTATGGGGGCTCTCAAAATTTGTAGAGTTAGCAATTACATAATATTGGGGTGCCATGACGAGGCTCTGTAGCTTACGCATGTATTTGCAAATGTGTGCTAACTAAACCCCTGTTTTTAACGCATACTGTTACACAGGTTAATTTGGTTTGTTTGCAGGCTGGTTGGCAAGTTGAGCCAGGAATTTTTCTCTTTTGCTGTTTGACATGTGTCACCCTTCCATGTACTCCTTGCTGTGAAGACCAGTTATAGACTGGGACAGTGGCCAATTTTTGTACAGGAAGAACATGCAAACTCCAGGCAGGTTGTGCCATGGTTGGGATTTGAAACAACAACCCTGGTGCCAAACAGAAGTACCGACCACTTAGCCACTGTCTTTAATATGAATGTTTTGTTAAAATTCAAGCATATGATTTTCCTTTCAATGGGGTTGTAGCAAAGCAGCAGTTAGCAAAATGACATATATTATGCTCTAATCCTCCCTGCCACTGATTAGTTCAAATAAATGAGAAATCTAATACCTTTGTCAAAGGTTTCCATTAAAATAGAGCCCTGCTGGCTTAAAATAATAGATGTCACATTATTGAAATCAATTAAAAGGGAAACAATAAGGTTTTGGGTTAATTTTAACACTCAACCAGTTAGCACTCAAGAAGAAATTACCAACAGGTTTAAAACTTGCATCTGGTAATGCTTAAAAGTAAATACGTGATCTGAAGGTGATTTTTTTTCTCTCTACAAAAATGTAGATTGTATTTAGGTTCAAATGAGGCTTCTCTGATTTAGAATATTTTGTTTATCCCATGGAATAGTCCCTGCCTGTTATTTCTACTTTACAACAAAAGATTTAAAGGGTGGGACTTTAGTGATTCCAATTGAAATTGTTATATGCATCTATAGCCATAAATGACAACATACATATTGATTGTATAAAACTGTACCACTGTATTACAAAATCAGTCCATTAATTCTCC